AATTTTTAGTTTGCCAGGAAAAGTATCTTATCATTTAATAATATAATATTCTTATCTGGGAAGCCTATATGCCAGTGATGCCGAACCTTTTAGAGACCAAGTGCCCAAACTACAACCCAAAACCCACTTATGCATTGTTGAGTGCCAGGTGGGTGTGGCCCATTGAGTGGGCGTGGCCCATTGGGTGGGCGTGGCTGCGGTGGTAACGGCTGACTGGGTGGGACTAAAAAGTTCAATCAATCAATTCCAACTTTGCAAGATCTTTTTTTTCCCGTGAGACGTTGAAATTGACTGATTGAACCTTTTTATTTTTGCACACGGCGATGGAGGCCTAAAGCAAAAAGTTTTATAAAATCCAGCTGAAGGCCTAGGACTGGGGTGACGGTGCGCGTGCCCACAGAGAGGGCTCTGAGTGCCGCCTCTGGCACCCGTGCCATAGGTTCACCACCACTGCTATATGCTTTGTATTGTGTGGAATTTATTGTGCAAGCGATTTTATTTGAGGATTTTCTTGTCAAATGCTAAATACAGGTAGTCCTCAACTTATGACTACACTTGAGCCCAAAATTTCTGTTGCTTCACATTTGTGAAGTGAATTTTGCCCCGTTTTTATGACATTTCTTGCCACATCTGTTAAGTGAATCAATGGAATTGTTGGTAGTATAGTTCTTCCCCATTGAGTTGGCTTGTCAGAAGGTCGCAGAAGGAGATCCCATGGCCCTGGGACACTGCAACCGTCATAAATATGAGTCAGTTGCTAAGTGTCTGAATTTTGATCACGTGACCCCGGAGATGCTGCAGCCATTGTGAGTGTGAAAAACGTTCATAAGTCCCCTTTTTTTCGAACGGTCACTAAACAAACTGTAGTAAGTCGAGGACTACCGTTTTAGCCTTCAGGGCAGTGGTAGTCAACCTGGTCCCTACCGCCCACTAGTGGGCGTTCCAGCTTTCATGGTGGGCGGTAGGGGTTTTGTCCGATACTGAAGCACTTTCCTTTTTTTTAATTTAATTGATTTTTTAAAAAAAATTCATAGCATTATTTAAAAACATTTTCATTAGGTTTTCATAAAATTCCCCGTGACAACAGTTCAACAATTGTGGAATCAGGCTTTAGTGCTGTTAATCATATTATGACCAAAGAAAGAAACCGCCTGAATATTTCCGAAAGAGGAGACCTTCGTTTGTTCCTTACAAAAATTGAGCCAGATATCCAGTATTTAGTTTCGCAGCCTCAGCCTCAGGGATCTCATTAATAATTTAATTAATTAAATGTAATTTCATCAGACTTCATGCTTCAATGTATGCAAAGTATAAATAAAAAGATAGATTTAACTACAGTAAGTTGTTTTATAAAGATTTATTCTGCCAAACTTAGCGAAAGTCCGACATAAAGTATTTGGTAAGTAATTATTATTATATACTTTAACTTGCTGTAACTCTGCTTTATCAATTTTATAAAGTAAAGTTACTTCCCTACTTTATAAATCACCATTACCGTGTAACCGGTGGGTGATTAGAAAATTTTACTACTAACAGAGATACAAAAGTGGGCGGTAGGTATAAAAAGGTTGACTACCCCTGCTTCAGGGCCTGGGCCAATTTATCTTCTGGATCCTCTTCAAGGATGATGTCACATGAAGCACATTACAATGGTCTGTATGGGAGGTGACCAGGGCACGAGTGACTGAGCAGGGCTTCTTGGCCCAGGAAAGGCTGTAACTACAAGGTGTAACTCTAAAACAGGGCTCTCCAAACTTGGCCACTTTAAGACTAGTGAACTTCAACTCCCAGAACTCCCTAGCTGGGGAATTCTGGGGGTTGAAGCCCACAGGTTTTAAAGTTACCAACTTTGGAGAGCCCTTCTCTAATCCAACACTGGAAATTTTTAAGAAGAAACTGGACAGCCATTTGTCTGAAATGGTATAGGGTTTCTTGCCTGAGCAGGGGGTTGGACTAGATGACCTCCAAGGTCCCTTCCAACTTTATTATTATTATTATTATTACTACTACTACTACTACTACTACTACTACTACTACTACTATTATTATTATTATTATTATTATTATTATTATTATTATTATTATTATTATTATTATTATTATTATTATTATTATTATTATATCCAGACTGCCTCTTCCCTGTTGGACTTCCAAAGAGTTGTGAAGACCTGGCTTTTTAAGAGGAAGTTTGGGGATGCCAGAGATCTGATGTCTGTTATGATGGACTTTGCATGGAGGTNTATTATTATTATTATTATTATTATTATTATTATTATTATTATTATTATTATTATTATTATTATTATTATTATTATTATTATATCCAGACTGCCTCTTCCCTGTTGGACTTCCAAAGAGTTGTGAAGACCTGGCTTTTTAAGAGGAAGTTTGGGGATGCCAGAGATCTGATGTCTGTTATGATGGACTTTGCATGGAGGTTTTTAACTTCATATACAAAATGCAAAATAACAGAGTTGGAAGAGACCTTGGAGGTCTTCTAGTCCAACCCCCTGCTCAGGCAGGAAACCCTACACCATTTCAGACAAATGGTTGTCCGATCTCTTCTTAAAAACATCCAGTGATGAAGTACACACAACTTCTGGAGGCAACTTTTTCCACTGGTTAATTGTTCTCACTGTCAGGAAATTTCTCCTTAGTTCTAGGTTTCTTCTCTCCTTGATTAGTTTCCATACATTCCATATATTCGTGAATGCAAGCCACTATGAATTTTCCTGAACTGAGTGGCATCAAAGCCAAAAGAATGTATGAAACCTGATTTATAAAACTTGGATGAGAAGCTAAACGTCTTGAAGGAAAAGCCAAGAAGATGGTCCAGTTGCCTCTTGGAAAAAGCACCTTTGGGACAACCATGATCTGGATGACTGAGGATCTCCATAGAGATTGGATCTATAAAACTACAGGACAGCTTCCTTGCAGACTGCTTTAATTAATGAGCCTCAGCAGAACCTCTTGTTTTGAAACGAGATTTCAACTCGCGAGAAATTAATGCAGAAAATGCAGTCCTTTGGGAAATAGCGCAAAGAAGTTATGCCAATTTCCATTATAGAAATGAGAGACAATAGGGTTAACTATCACACAGAGAAGAAGAAGTTACTAAGGTATGCAATTTAGGACTAAAACAATTAACCTTTCCTTGGAGAGGACCTAAATTCTGAAGCCAAGCCTTTTTTCCTGGACTCTTCCATACTTCTTGAGTTAATTCCAATAATTTAGCAAGGCTGCTGAAGAGAGTGATTTCCACTAGTTTTTCCCAGTTCAAGGATAGCAGTTTCTTGTTCTTTTTTTCCTTGGAATTCTACCTTTATTTTTTTAACTTTTTAATTATCTATGTGGGAAATCTTACAAGTGTACGAACAAAATCCTGTTCCTGAGAGGAAGGGCTTATTTAAACTCAAGTGCTGTCAGGGCTTAAATCAGGGGTCGCCAACCTGTGGGCCGTGTCCTGCTAGCCCGTGGGCCACGGGACAGGCTGGCCAGTGCGTGGATATGTGTGCGTGCACTCAAGCCCACTCACGGTGGCACCGCTGCTACGCAAATGGGGTGCTGCGCAGCAAAAACAGGGCATTGGGTAGTGAAAACGGGGCACCAGTCTCCAAAAACAGGGCGCCACTAGCGTCACGTGGGCGCCAGCACCGCCCCATTTGTGTGCGCACGCATGGGCGCATGTTAAATTCTCCTTTTCTTTCCCTCCGGTCCGCCAACTGAGAAAGATTGGAGACCTCTGGCTTAAATGACAGGGAAGAGCTAGCAATTCAGAGCAGAAGCGAAACTACAGTTTTGGGTGTTTTATGAATGTTTAGCATATATATATATATATATTTAAGATTTCTAGCCGGAATGACAACTCTATGCACATAAAGCTAATTTCTTTGCATAATAAAAGCTAAATCTTGAGGAAAATACTGGGGATGGAGCGAGGACAGGATTAGACAATGATATTGAAATAGTTAGAATTTGTTAATAACAGACTTTTATACATAGATAACCCTTTAAATGACTTGATTGGTTAAATTGGCGTAGCTGCTCATGACTCTCGGTGGCTAACAGTATGTAACAAAGGAATAAAAGCAACGTAACACAATTTTAAATGTCATAAATTAGCAGCTGAGAAATACGACCAACAGCAGCAATTAATAATCATTCATCACAGTTAATGCAGGGGTCTTCAAACTTGGTCCTTTGATGACTTGTGGACTTCAACTCCCAGAATTCCTCAGCCAGGCACGCGTGCCTGGCTGAGGAATTCTGGGAGTTGAAGTCCACAAGTCATCAAAGGACCAAGTTTGAAGACCCCTGCATTAATGGAATCAAGAAATAGGCTCATCCACATCATCAGGACCCCATACTCAAACACAAAACCAAGTCTTCAAGGCCTTGAGAAGGACCGGCCGTGTCCAGACACTCCTCATCTCTTTTTTATAAAGAAATTTTAAAAAAAAACCTTGAATATCACAGACATTGCTATTTTGGGCTCAAACGTTCAGCTGTATGACAAGTTCGGTCTGGTTTGTCTACGATCTTCCACTCTACCCCTGCAAATTCTCTCGTCCATTGCTTTATTGTGAATTTCTTTTAACAGAAAATTTGTGTTGACTGTTCCGACGGGATTACTCATGGTTTGACTCCTGCCTCTAAATAGGGGGACTGTCTCCTGGTCATAAAGATGTATTCAGTTTTTCTCTAGTCCCTGAAAAATAACTCTTGGTTACGTAATGTAGGTGCGAATGAGGTCATCTTCATGTCCCTGTGTTAACTTCTGTCTGGGGAGATTGAATCATGATGGCAGATGGAGATTTGTAAGGGGTGGTGAAAAGGTTGCAGATTTTGGGTTTTGGATAGAAAAGCAGTCTCTCTGTGTGTGTGGGTATGTATGTGTGTGCATACACACACACATACACATGTTCCCCCGCCCCCAGTCTTTTTATTCTGTTTCGTAATATGGTCATTTCCTTCAGATTCTCCCAATTATTTCATTTCAGAAACAGATGACTATGCAGAGATCATAGATGAAGAAGATACGTATACCATGCCTTCAAGTAAGTCATCCTTCTTTCACTCTGGACCCTGATGGAGTCAATAAACGTAGTTGTAAGAGCTATTTAATCGAGAATATCTGGGAGGCATCCTTTTGGACCTAGAAACTGAAAAACAAAAGGTTTAAGATTACTTGAATCCCCACTGGGGATTGTTATTTATTTTTGAAATAGTTAACCTAGAAACGCAGGTCCATATAAACAACCGAGAGAGGACAATTTTGGATTGTTGGCCAGATGGGAAACTGCTAATACTTCAGTGTTTCAGTTCAGGCACTATGCTGTCTCTTACTCACAAGAAGTGTAAGGATTACATGTGCTTTCCCTCTAGGACAGTGGTGGCGAACCTTTTAGAGACCGAGTGCCCAAACTGCAACCCAAAACCCACTTATGCATCGCCGGGTGCCGGTGGGTGTGGCCACCGAGCTGTCGGCTCGTGCTCACTTGCTCGCTGTCCGCTCCGACTTGTGCTCGCTCTCTTGCTGTCTGCAGCAACTGCTGCTTCCGCTGAAAGTTGCTCCTTTTATAGCCTCTTGCCTATTCCCAGACTGCGCATGCGCGGAGAGCTGCGCATGCGCGGAGAGGAGGAGGGAACAGCTCGGCCCAGCAATGACTCGCGTGCCACCAGAGACGGCTCCGTGTGCCGCCTCTGGCACGCGTGCCATAGGTTCACCACCACGGCTCTAGAATCTTACACTTCGGTGCATTAAGAAAAGGAAAAGGCGGGAAAATTTCACCTTCATTTTCAATGTTTTCCTATATCTATATCTGTCCAGAGTGTGGTTTATGTTGATGATTGAAAAGGAGATCCAGTTTGGTCTAGTGGTTAAGGTACCAGGCTAGAAAGCAGAAAATCATGAGTTCTAGTCCCACCTGAGCCATGAAAGCCAGCTGAGTGACTTTGGGCCAATCACCAGGAGACGGCGAGTTCGAGTCCCTCCTTAAGAATGCTGGCTGGGAGACTTTGAGCCAATCACTAGTTCTAGATCTGCCTTAGGCATGAAAGCCACCTGGGTGACTTTGGGCCAGTCACTCCCTCTCACTCTGACTCACCACACAGGTTGTTGTTGTGGGGAAACTAAGAGTAGGAAGATGTGTTGGTTATGTGTGCTGCCTTAGGTTGTTGGTAAAAATAATAAAGGCAGGATATACAGTGAGGGGAAAAAAGTATTTGATCCCCTGATGATTTTCCCTCACTATAAGAGCGGTGGTGGTGCAGTGGTCAGAATGCCATATTGCAGGCTAATTCTGCCGACTGCCAGCAGTTCGATTCTCACCGGTTCAAGGTAGACTCAGCCTTCCATCCTTCTCAAGTCGGTAAAATGAGGATCTGGATTGTTGGGGGCAATAGGCTGACTCCATAAACCGCTTAGAGAGGGCTGTAAAGCACTGTGAAGTGGTATATAAGTCTAAGTGCTGTTGCTATTGCTAGATATAAATAAACAAGTAAATGTTAGTAAAATCAAAACCCAATTTCCAAAGTGCTGGTATAATGGAAAAATCTCAGCTTGTTTTAAAGCAGGGGTAGTCAACCTTAGCTCTTTTATGACTCGTGGACTTCAACTCCCAGAATTCCTGAGCCAGCACAGCTGGCTCAGGAATTCTGGGAGTTGAAGTCCACGAGTCATAAAAGAGCCAAGGTTGACTACCCCTGTTTTAAAGGATGGAAACACACATTGTGCTTTGCTTATAGCTTATAATAGCATGTAGTAGATAAATGCATCAACCTCATCCTAAAATATTTTATAATATGCAAAGTAAAGTTGAATGGCATCTGTGCCTCTACAGTGTTATGAAGATGGTGTCGTAAAGATAGATTGTGTATTTTGGGGGATTTGCAGAAATTTCAAATACAATGCCTGTGTGTAGGATTTTGAATACTGGACATTTTTTTCCCAAATGTAATTTGCATTTTAAGAAGTATTTTCTAAGCCGGTGTTTGATTTTTCTCTTAATTGCACTGCAGAAAGCTATGGAATAGATGAAGGTAACAGGAGATCCTTTAATTATCTATCTGTTTAAAATTTTGGAGATATCTTTTTTTTTTAAAGGAACTGTTGACTTTCTATTAATAAAGTGCTGGCTCAATTGTGTATTTTTAAGCCAACACATTTGATCGTTATGGGATTATAAAGAAGAAACTGCTGTGTTCAAATAAAAATGGGTATATAGAATACAGAAGATTTTATGTCTATTCTTACCTTTTTTTTTGAACTCATCATAATAAACTATTTCCACTTCTCCTTTTGGAAACAAGAAAGCATGTTTCCCACTATTTTATTTGAAGTACGGAAGTAAAAAAATAGACAATTCAGTTGGCAATGAACAATGCCTAATGATTTTAGGAATAAGCAGTTTACTAAAGAAAAAAATATATAATAAAATAAAATAAGTATGACATATCAGCAGAACAAATTGCATAGGTGTTTAGGCTAATTTTTTTGGGGTCGAAATAATTTTGACAAGAACCGGCTAAAGGACTAATTGTTAAGTTATAATACATAAAAATGAACCGTTATTTAAAGTGGGAAGTCACCCCAAATAAAGGTCCTTACATACATATCCTAATTTTGGTGCTCGGAGATTTTATAGCACATTACCTCTGGAGAATTTATACGGTAATCGTCCTCGATTAGTTTTATACCTACCCTTTTTGCATTTCTTTCCAATGTGAACCACTGGTCATAATTCAGTTAAGATGTTTTAATTACACTGCTTGCATTAATGTAACTAAACACACTGGAACTAATTCAGAACTAGAAGTCTCACATCCTTTCCAGGATTTCCATTTGAATGGGTGTTTAAGAGGGTTCCACTGTAAAAATGATATTTACATGAATTGCTTGTGGGCAAATTCTGGTATGTTGTTTTTTTTTCAAACGGGTAATCATTTTAAGCTACCTTTGATGGTGTTTTGTCTTTTGTGGGGTACTTCCTGGGGAAGCTGTTTCATCAGTGGATTTAAATTTTAAATGGATTGTATTTTAATAGCCAGGGATTATGAGATTCAGAGGGAGCGGATTGAACTGGGACGCTGCATCGGTGAAGGGCAGTTTGGTGATGTTCACCAAGGAGTTTATGTCACTCCAGTAGGTATCTCTTAATGTTTTCATACTTTTTCATAAGTAGAATTATCTGCCTTCTAATTGTGTGTTATTATCCATTGTACACTCTTATGGCCTAGACCAGGGGTAGGCAACCTCGGCTCTTTTATGACTCGTGGACTTCAACTCCCAGAATTCCTGAGCCAGCATGGCTCAGCTTGGAAACCTCTCCCTTTCCCCTCAGCATGGCTGGCTCAGGAATTCTGGGAGTTGAAGTCCACGAGTCATAAAAGAGCCAAGGTTGCCTATCCCTGGTCTACTGATAATGTAAATATGTCCAGTTTTGAACTTATCTTATGTAGTAATGGGAAACTTCTTAACCTGATACATAGAGTCTCTGCTAACCTTTTATCTTTATTGATTACAATTCCTTAAACTACACACCCTCACACGTTCACATTTATCAAACTATAATACCCGCCAGGTGATATAAGGAGCGTTGGAGAAGACAAGAGTTCTTTTATACCACCAGTTGTGTGCGTGGATGGTGTCCTTTGTCTAGCCCAGGGCTCTTCAAACTTCGCCCTTTTATGACTTGTGGACTTCAACTCCCAGAATTCCTCAGCCAGGCATGCTGGCTGAGGAATTCTGGGAGTTGAAGTCCACGAGTCATAAAAGGGCCATGTTTGAAGAGCCCTGGTCTAGCCCTTCATTTTGTTTTGTTCTAGCAGACCTCTATCACATGTAACCTCAATTATTTTCTTCATGTGGGGTCCTTGATGCTCTCTGAGCTTGATTGCAGACGTTTTATTACCAAACCCCATTCCTTTCTATCCCTGATGATGTTGCTTAGTTGGGTAATGAAACATCTGCAAGAACATTGCCAAGCTCACCCACAGTTCAACCCCAAACTACAGATATTCTCTCTGGAGGCCATTTTATTCATGTTCACTGGCTGTTTGCTGTGACTGGATAACGTAAGACCGGTTGCTTAATGTCTATGGAAAAAAGCACCTTTTAAAAAAAAAACAAAACACAAACTTTGGGACGGCTGGTTGCTTAGAAATTATTTTCATTCTTTGTTGACTGTCCTCTCAACTTGCTTGGGGTCACCCCATTTCAGCTGGTTGCTCTTGTGCAAATATGGCTTGTCCTCTGTCATTCTCTCCCTCTTTCTCAATACCGTGTCACGTTGGTTTGTGTAGCAAATGCTGCTGACAATGACTCTGATCGTGATGACTAAAATGTCAGATTAAGGCTAAACTGTTTCCCCACTTGACCCCAAAAGCTCATTGTACCAATGTCCTTTCATGGGAGAAAGAAAAGTGTAATGCTGAGGAGAGCTGTGTAGGCGAATTCGAATTCACACACACACACACACACACACACACACACACACACACACACACACAGAGAGAGAGAGAGAGAGAGAGAGAGAGAGAGAGAGAGAGAGAGAGACTGGTATTAAAGGTATTTGGAAGGTGGTGGTGGGGAAATCTTTGGGTTTTAGTTTTTCACAAAATGTTGCATATGGGAAGAACCCCGTGCCGAGTATTTGGTGGAGAGTTGGAAGACAAAGTCACAAACGATTGGCTTAAGTGGAGTAATAAGAACTTAAGCTGGGAGCTTAACTCCTTCTCTCTGATTATACCAAAGCTCAGAAGCTCCGATAAATACGTCCAGCTGTTACACGCCTGTTGTTAAGTAGTGACATGGTGGGGAGGTGTGCGGAGGAGATGGGGTCCAAGGAGAAGAGAAATCTCATTTGGCCTGAGGGTCTAATTAGCCGTTGGTAATGTGTGAACTTTTTAATGTAGAGAACTCTGCCCACCAGCGGCTTCTGATTTAAGCCTGCTGTGGGATACATTTGAACTTTCCAGCAGGAACTGCAGCTTTCACCCCCTTTCCAGAGACGCATGAACGCACAGGGGAAAAAAAAAAAGAAATTACGTTTGTCTTCTCATGGAGCAATTAGGTAAATTATCGAAGAAAGTTATCTACAAACTTTAGAACCTCGACACCCTTCAGTCGAAGGGTCTCTTCCTTTATAATTTTCCCGTCTTTTTATCTAAAGGAGGTTCCTAGAACTTCTTGGTCTTTTTGTACGGGTCAGACGAATTATCGGGGTGGAGAGGGAGGGGGTTCGAGACATGTTTACGTCTACATCCTCCGGGGTACTAGAAGCTTAAGAAGACAAAGACACCTAAAATCTGCATACCCCATCCAAACTCCCAAGAGTCATTAGCCCCAGCACCAGGGAAGCAGGATACGACCTTTGGGAGATAATAGGATTAACTCACAGATGCCAAAGGGACACAGGTCAAAATACATGACACAGGAAATAGAAAGCCTCAAACAGGAACAGGAAATAACCTCCAAACAAAAGGCTCCAGAGGGTATAAAAACCCACTCCCCACATGTGCTCAGCCCTTTTTCTCTCCTCTTTCCTGCCAGAACCATCTTTCTGTCTGGCTCTTCAATAAACTGCAACCTTCTTTCTAAAGCAGTCGCCATGTCGTTTATCCCCGGCTTGGACTGGACCATGATGAAGACTTTTCTTTCAACAGAGCTTTAGGTCAAAAAAAATAAATAAAGTTCTTTATGAAACTCTGCCACTCGACCGGAGAAGAATACTTTTACCTTTTTTGGGGGACAATCTGGGAGTCGAAAAAGCTTGAGGAAGATGAAAAAGATGTTCAGAAAGGTTTCTTCCCTTGGCCCAACCTTTAGACGTAACCTCAAGAGAAGACTACAGCGACCAGAAAACGGCACCTTCCACGTAACTCTGCTGAAAAGATTAAACAAAATCCCAATATAAAAGAACGGGTTCTTCGAAGGAACATAAATTTATTTTAGTACAGTACTCTAAAAATGTTTGGCTTAGAGAGCAAGCAGTAAGATGTTAATTTATCTTTACATTTGCAGATGGTTTCTGGAATTTTAGAAGAGATACGGCTTGCGTTTCATTAAATCCTGCAAATACCTTAGTGCAGGGGTAGGCAACCTTGGCTCTTTTATGACTCGTGGACTTCAACTCCCAGAATTCCTGAGCCAGCCATGCTGAGAGGAAAGGGAGAGGTTTCCATGCTGAGCCTTGCTGGCTCAGGAATTCTGGGAGTTGAAGTCCACGAGTCATAAAAGAGCCAAGGTTGTCTACCCCTGCCTTAGTGTCACCTGCACCTACTTTGCTTTTTTCAAAAGATGGTGTTATACGAGGCTGGCCATGCAGCTCAACTAAACAGGTTGCCCACCAGCAGATTAAAATTACCAGAAAAATAAGTTGGTGTATAATGCACAACCGATAACGGAAACTTTTGGGGTATCTTTTTCTATGTAATCCGAGACAAACTGGCCTAATTTAAGCTGAAGTTGAACACCGTGTTTTAATAGAATAATAATGAGAATTCTACCCCTTCTTACAGAAGAAAAAGACAAAGTTAATTTCCAGTCAAACTTTAGCGCATGCTTAGAAACTTGAAATTGGCCAGTACAGTTTTAGTATGAATGTCTTTTTATACTTTTGAAGAAATGAGCGTTAGCATTATGCAAGTAGTCTTTAAAAAAACCCACACATTTGGATTTATCTAATATAAAATTGAAAAGAAATTTTTTTTAAAGCCCCTTCCACAATATTAAATTAGTTGAAACATTAACAGTTCGGTTAGGTCAGATTGCTCTGTTGTAGGCATTAAGTAAGGGAAGAAACCATGCCCAACCTCGCTCCTGTATTTCACCTATGAAATGTATAAAGTGGCGGCAGCCCTTTGTCGTATTCGGCTGCCTGGTTCGTGAGAAAATGCTAATTTTAGCAAAATTGTCACTTTTTTTTTTTTTCCAAAATCCGTGAAATACTCTTTTTTTTTTTTTTTTTTTTAAAAAGAGAGACTTCAGAATCAATGTCTATCTCTGTGTGATTCCTTTCATTTGCATAACGTGGGCTTTCTGTCTTGCAGGAAAACCCTGCCATGGCAGTTGCAATCAAAACGTGTAAAAACTGTACTTCAGACAGCATCAGAGAGAAATTCTTGCAAGAAGCCTGTAAGTTACAACAACGTTCCCGTCTTTCAGCTTGGGTAGGCTTAGGCCCGTAGTAGCGAACCTATAGCACGGGTACCAGAGGCGGGGCACACGGAGCCCTCTCCGTGGGCACGTGCGCCGTCGCCCCGGCCCCACCTCCTCCCGCGGTTTCCTCCTCACCAGCAGCCCCCCCCAGAGGAGAGTCGCCCCCGAGGAGCAGCGCAGCCAAGGACATGGCAGCTGGGCAGCAGGGACAAGACTCCGCCCTTGCACCCCAGGGCGTGCAATTGATGCTGCGGGGCGTAGGGTGGAGGGCGTGGCTTCCATGGCGCTGCTGGGCCGCCTGGGCAATCTACATTGGGCCGTGGAAGCGTGGGCAGGGTGGGGATGAGGCAGGGGTGGGGCGGGGGCGGGAGCGTGCAGGGCAGGAGCGTGCAGGGTGGGGATGAGGCAGGTGGGGGCGGTTTTTGGGCACTCAGTCTCTAAAAGGTTCGCCATCACTGGCTTAGGCTGAGCATGTGAGGGGTTCTTGTTTGCAAAGACCGGAAACACCACGACTTAGCTGAAAAATGTCCCCTGCATTGTAGCAGCCACGGTCCCCCAACCGTAGGCTCTTGCCCCCGTAACACTCTCTCTCTCTCTCTCTCTCTTTCTCTCTCTCTCTCTCTCTCTCTCTTTCTCTCCCTCCCTCCCTCCCTCCCTCTCTCCTCCTCCCTCTCTCTGGAAGATAAACACATGATTGCCTACAGACAGCAAGCTTGCATTCCTGTCCTTGAATGGACAATCTTGCGGCTGAAAAATATAGGCTGAGATTTCATTCATAAATCCAGATTTATAATACTCTGTTTCAAATTGAAGTACGACCCACGTACTTTAGAACAGTGATCGAATCATGCGCAGATGAGATTAATCTGCTACTCTAATGTATATTTTTAGAATTTCCCTGTCTATTTCGTGAGATAAAAGCGAAATGTTCCAGGTTTGCCTACGGCAGTGGTGGCGAACCTATGGCACGGGTGCCAGAGGCGGCACTCAGAGCCCTCTCTGGGGGCACTCGCGCCGTCAACCCAGTCCTAGGCCTTCAGCTGGGTTTTATAAAACCTTTTCGCTTTAGGCCTCCGCTGCCCTGTGCAAAAAAAAAAAAAAGGTTCAATCAATCAGTCAATTTCAACTTCTCGCGGGAAAAAAAGATCTTGCAAAGTTGGAATTGATTGATTGAACTTTTTAGTCCCACCCAATCTGCCGTTACCACCGCAGCCACGCCCACCCAATGGGCCACACCCACCCAATGGGCCACACCCACCCGGCACCCGACGATGCATAAGTGGGTTTTGGGTTGCAGTTTGGGCACTCAGTCTCTAAAAGGTTCGCCATCACTGGCCTACGGGGTGCTCTCTCTTCCACAGCACAAATAAACATATTTCCATGTCATTAGGTGCGAGGTTTAGCTCCTGTGCTCTTGAGACAGATAATAAAGCAATTCTGTTCCTGGTCAATGCACTTGATGCCAGCCAAAGGAGTAAATGAGATTTTTCTTGTGGACATCATATTCATATCAGTGTTGTACTCCATCGCAACTCAGTGCATCTGTCTGAGTGGTGTTCCATTTTTCTTCTTTCTGCTCTAACGAAGTCATGCCCACACGATGTGTAGACAGTGTGAATCAATAAGTTTTTTTTTAAAAGGTGAGTTTGGAGCTTTGAACCGTATTTAGTGATAATTGTTGCCAGTTTATATTTTGCAGGCCATTTGCTCTTGAACTGAATCAATGTAGGCCGATTGAAAGATATTAAATTGGTGTCGTACCTTCGTGGCTCCCTCAGAAGAAAAACCCCTGGCCTTTTCAGCATAGTTGTGAAATCAAAGATAATAATAATAATAATAATAATAAAGTTGCAAGGGACCTTGGAGGTCATCCAGTCCAACCCCCTGCTCAGGCAGGAAACCCTATACCATGTTATGCATGTTATGCTTCTGCACAGTCAGTGTCCAGCTCTGACCCATTTTAGTGTTGCATCTGTGCTTTGGAGACCGAAACTGATGCCAAATATGCTTTTGTTTCAAGAGCTGGTGCAAAAGTAATCATGATTAGCATTCATATATCCGCAAATGTAGCAGTCATCACAGCAGATGCTGGAAATGGAAGAGAAATTAAAAGAGAGAGCTCAACAGGAAAATAGACAGTGAAGCACATGGGAGGGTGAAAAGGCTCAGCCACGTAGCTCCTTTAGTTTACTCTGAAAACAAAATGATTTCCTGGGTGAATCGTTTACAGAGAGAGAGTCCTCAATTTATGGCCAATGGCTTAGTGACCGTTTGACGTTAGGACAGATCCACTGGGAGTTATATACGACCCAGATTTGAAGTTTCAACAGGTACCCTCTCTAACCCACTCGTGGCCACATGACACGGGCCACATTTGCAGCCACTTGTACCTTCCTGTGGTCCTTTGATCACGTTTTACAATAGTTTTGCTGAAAATCGACATTTCCTTCTGGTTTGGGAAAACCTTGCCCGTAGTAAGCCATTGGTTCAGCTAATAACCACCAACACACACACACACTCAGACAGACAGACAGACACAAAATCAGGTTGTTCATGTGACCCACTTTGTTGTTAATTGCGAAGTCGTGTCCGACCCATCGCAACCCCATGGACAACGTTTCTCCAGGCCTTCCTGTCCTCTACCATTGAAGCTCCCGCCTCCTGCTTCAGTGACTCCATCCAGCCACCTCCTTCTCTGTTGTCCCCTTCTTCTATTGCCCTCCATCTTTCCCAGCATCAGGCTCTTCTCCAGTGAGTCCTTCCTTCTCATTAGGTGGCCAAAGTACTTTGAGTTTCAACTTCAGGATCTGGCCTTCTAAAGAGCAGTCAGGGTTGATCTCCTCTAGGGCTGACCGGTTTGAACGCCTTGCAGTCCAGGGGACTCGCAGGAGTCTTCTCCAGCACCGTAGTTCAAAGGCCTCCATTCTTTGTCGCTCAGCCTTTCTCAGTCCAACTTTCACATCCATACATTGTGACCCACTTTAGGCCAGCCCTAAAATCACAGGAAGGGATCTCTCAGAGGTCTTCTAGTCCAATCCCCTACTCAGATCGGGAGTCTTGTACCACCCCAGTTAAATGGTTCTCCATTCCCAACTTACAACCGTGATGGGAGGCTCCATTACATTCGTAAGTCGAGGTGGGAAATGTGATAGATGAAGCATTTCTAGTTAGCCTAACTTAGAGCTGTGCTGGCGGAGGGGTTAGAAGTATTGCAGGCTGATTCTGCCGACTGCCAGGGGTTCGATCCTCACCGGCTCAAGGTTGACTCAGCCTTCCATCCTTCCGAGGTCGGTAAAAATGAGGACACAGATTGTTGGGGGCACAATAGGCCAACTCTGTAAACCGCTTAGAGAGGGGCTATTGCTATTTAGAAAAAAATGGAAATCGGCGAGAGAGAAATATCCAAGCAGGCCAACTGTCTGGGATGCATATGATGAAGGGAGAGCATTTCTACAAACTCAGTGCTGAAAGCCAAATGCCACTTCCCAGAGTATTAAAGCAGCTACATCCTCTAAGGCAGAGGTCCCCAACCTTTTGCGCACCAAGGATCGGTTCCGTGGAGAAAGGTTTTTCCACGGACCGGAGAGTGTGTGGTTTTGTGTGCTGCCTGCATCCCACGGGTGGGGCTTTGCTTGTTTGTGCGGACCGGTTGCTGGCATGCCGTGGCCCGGTACCGGTCCATGGACCGGGGGTTGGGGACCCCTGGTATAAGGCACTCATAGCAGCTGCCTCAAAGGACATCCCTTTGATCGTGGTGTCGCAGGGCTTATAATTCAGTATTGCAGGCTGACTCTGCCCACTGCCAGCAGTTCGGTCCTGGCCTGCTCAAGGTTGACTCGGCCTTCCATCCTTCCGAAGTTGGTAAAATGAGGACCCAGATTGTTGGGGGCAAATATGTTGACTCTGTAAACTGCTTAGAGAGGGCTGTAAAGCACTGTGAAGTGGTATATGGTATTGCTATTGCTCTACCCCTGCTCTCTATTATCTGTCTGTCTGTCTATCTTATCTATCTATCTATCTATCTATCTATCTATCTATCTATCTATCTATCTATCTATCTATCTATCATCACCTATTCTATGTCTGGTGGCGCAGTGGTTAGAATGCAGTATTGCAGGCTAATTCTGCCCACTGCCATGAGTTCGATCCTGATTGGCTCAAGGTTGACTCAGCCTTCCATTCTTCCGAAGTTGGTAAAATGACCTAGATTGTTGGGTGCAACAGGCTGACTCTCTAAACCGCTTAGAGAGGGCTGTAAAAGCGCTGTGAAGTGGTATATGGTATTGCTATTGCTCTACCCCTGCTCTTTATTATCTGTCTGTCTGTCTGTCTATCTATCTATCTATCTATCTATCTATCTATCTATCTATCCATCCATCCATCCATCCATCCATCCATCCATCCATCCATCCATCCATCCATCCATCCATCTATCTATCATCACCTATATTATATCTGGTGGCGCAATGGTTAGAATGCAGTATTGCAGGCTAATTCTGCCCACTGCCATGAGTTCGATCCTGACCGGCTCAAGGTTGACTCGGCCTTCCATCCTTCCGAAGTCGATAAAATGAGGACCCAGATTGTTGGGGGCAAATATGCTGACTCTGTAAACCGCTTAGAGAGGGCTGTAAAAGCGCTGTGAAGCGGCATATAAGTCTAAGGGCTATCGCTAAGTCTAGAATCGGTGTCAACCCCTTGCTATGAAAAGAACCCTTTCCCCTCTTGTTTTCAGATTGCACGTCAACAGCGTGCCTCTGTTTAATGAGAACTTTTTTTTTTTGCTTTCCCCCGTTGCAGTAACGATGCGTCAATTTGACCACCCCCACATTGTCAAGCTGATTGGCGTCATTACGGAAAACCCTGTCTGGATCATTATGGAGCTGTGTACTCAGGGAGAGGTAAGAGAGGAATCGATCAAGGCCATGTCTGTCTTCAAGCATTTGATAAAAGACTTGGGGGGAACATGGAAGTATTGTGTGAATGTTTCTCTCGAAGGAAGGAAGAGCGTTCAGCATTTGGCAACGGCAGAATCATAGTTTCAAATGGAGCCCGGCGGGAATTGTGGATTGAAGAGGAGATCTAAACCTTTTTTTTCTCAGTGTGGAGTTGAGTGACAGATCTCTGGTTTACTACTGGGAAGAGGACAGCTGAAAATGATCATAAATAATAATAAAAAAACTTTGCACACCCTAAAGGTAGCCCTTGACACGCAGCAGTTCATTTAGTGACCGTTCCAAGTTACAGAGGCACTGAAAAAAGTGACTTAGGACCATTTTTCACACCTACGACCATTGCAGCCTTGTAAAGAGGCCATAGTTGCCCACCCTTCAGAATCAGAATCAGAATAGAGCTGGAAGGAACCTTGGAGGTCTTCTAGTCCAGCCCCCTGCTCAAGCAGGAGATCCTATACCATTTCAGACAAGTGACTGTCTAGTCTCTTTTTAAAAACCTCCAGTGATGGAGCACCCACAACCTCCGAAGGCAGGCTGTTCCACTAATTAATTGTCCTCACTGTTAGGAAGTTTCTCCTAAATTCCTGGTTGCTTCTCCCCTTGATTAGTTCCCATCCATTGTTTCTTGTCTTGCCCTCTTGGTGCTTTGGAGAATAGCTTGACTCCCTCTTCTTTGTGGCAGCCTTTCAAACACTGGAATACTGCTATCATGTCCCGCTTAGTCCTTCTTTTCTCTAGACTAGCCATGCCCAATTCCTGCAACCCTTCTTAGTTTAGAGTACGGTAGTCCAAGCTCTTGTAAAACACGTACGTTTTGATTGGAAGGAAATCCATTTAATTCTAAAGTTCAGCAGAGATACCCAAATTCGAATACTGTCATCGCTTTCCTTTTAATAGTTGAGTGCCACAACGATTGAGGCCACTGCCAGGACTTCTTGTGGAAGTCCAGTGATAGAAGTCCACTTTAGAAGTCACAGTTTCTCTGAAGCAGTCCCGTGAGAATGGAGCAGGTTCAGTAGCCACGGAATGGAGGACACTGGAATGGAGAAGAGAGATCAAGGCAATTGGGATTCTTTACGCCGCAACATAATAATAGTAGTAGTAGTAGTAGTAGTAGTAGTAGTAGTAATATCGCACAGACTGACTACAAGTAGCGGCATGACAAAATAACAACAATAGTGCATTGGAAGATCTGCAAGAAATATTTGCCTGTAAGCAAAAACTGGTGGGATCATAAAATAGAGAAAGTCATAGAAAATGATCAAATTAAACTGCTCTGGGACTTCAGAATTCAAACAGACAAGCACCTGCAACATAACACCCTGGACTTAACAATTGTCGATAAGAAAGACAAAAAAGTATGGGTCATGGACGTGGCAGTGCCTGGAGACAGCAGAATAGATGAGAAAGAACTGGAGAAGATAACAAAATACAAAGACTTACAAATAGAAATAGAAAGACTGTGGCAAAGGCAAGCAAGGGTAGTACCAATAGTAATAGGCGCCTTGGGTGCAATCCCAAAACAACTGGAGCACCACTTGAACACCATCATCGGCATTGACAAATTCGCTATTAGTCAATTGCAAAAGGCGGCCTTACTAGGAACCGCTTCCATCCTGCGACGATATCTGTAATATCGTCAAACATCCACATCTGCCTATCCCAGGTCCTGGGTAAGGACTCGATAGGTAGACAAAATGCCAAATCCAGTCTGAACATCTGGCTGACTGTGTGATGATCCTCAATAATAATAATAATAATAATAATGATGATGATGATGATGATGATGATGATGATGATGATAAAGTTGGAAGGGACCTTGGAGGTCGTCTAGTCCAACCTCCTGCTCAGGCAGGAAACCCTATACCGTTTCGGACAAATGGCTGTCCAGACTCTTAAAAACTTCCAGTGTTTGACAAGAGACTGGACAGCCATTTGTCCGAAATGTTGAACAGAGATCCTTTGCGCTGCAACGTTCTGCCCCTGGTTTTGTTTTTGCTCAGTCTGACCTCTCTCTCCCTCTCTCCTTTATCCTGTAGCTGAGATCGTTTCTCCAAGTCAGAAAATACAGCTTAGATCTGGCGTCTTTGATACTTTACGCTTATCAACTTAGCACCGCCCTTGCCTACTTAGAGAGCAAACGGTTTGTACATAGGTAAGATCATCACCACCCAGCAAAATATTTGTGTATATATATAAAAAAAAAGTTGTATACATCNGAGTATTACCCGTGTTTCCCCGAAAATAAGACCGGGTCTTATATTAATTTTTGTTCCAAAAGACGCACCAGGGCTTAATTTCCAGTTAGGGCTGATTTTCGGGGAAATACGGTACTAAATGCGTCCATCTGGCTGATGATTCTAACTGGGGCTTATTTTTGGGATGGGGCTTATATTACGAGCATCCTGAAAAATCATGCTAGGGCTTATTTTCCGGTTGGGTCTTATTTTGGGGGGAACACGGTGTTGGTTCCGAATCCAGCAGCATGCGAGAGACTTGGGAAAGGGTGACATCTACTGGGCAGCTTCTTCCTGTGTTTTCTAAAATATTACTAGCACCAAGTGAGTTAGAAAGGAAGGAGGTCTGCCAAAACCTCTTGTGATTTCCAATTTTGAAGCAACCTGCAGCATCCAAAGCAGAAATAGCTATAAGAGAGTTTTCCTGAAAACCATTTAACCAATAAATGCAGGGGTAGTCAACCTTGGCTCTTTTATGACTCGTGGACTTCAACTCCCAGAATTCCTGAGCCAGCTATGCTGGCTCAGGATTTCTGGAAGTTGAAGTCCACGAGTCATAAAAGAGCCAAGGTTGACTACCCCTGAATAAATGGATTGTTTACATTTTCATGGTAATTAAAACGGAAAACAATCGGAGCGATAATTCACATTTTTAAGAATAAAGAAAATACTCTGTTAAACACAGATGTCAGACACACACTATAAATCTTCAAGTTCACACATCCTTGTAGAAGTTTCAAGGTGGTTTTGGATGCAGTATCTTCTAATCCTTGCAACATCCTGTATGTCAAAGCAAGAATATTCAATAATAGTCAGACTCATGACACTGTACAGTACATTATTTTAGAATCAGAATAGAGCTGGAAGAGAGCTTGGAGGTCTTCTAGTCCAGCCCCCCTGCTCAAGCAGGAGACCCTATACCATTTCAGACAAGTGGCTGTCTGGTCTCTTCTTAAAAACCTCCAGTGATGGAGCGCCCACGATTTCTGGAGGCCAGCTGTTCCACTGGTTAATTGTCCTCACTCTTAGCAGGTTTCTCCTTAATTCCTTAATTTTAATTTAGCTTACATAATTAATTTTGATAACCTTACATACTAAGGCAAAGATGCAAGCAAGATTCAGAACTCAGATTCAAACTAGGTTCTGCCTGATTTTTAACTAAGGGGTCAAGGAACCATAAATTAGTCTTGTTTTTTCTTAAAACAAAATCCTGGATATTTTTTTTCTGCTTCTATGTGCATATGTTTGTACATTTCATTGTAAGGGGACTGGAAAACCTTTGAGTAGTATTAATAGGAAGAGTGCTCGCTCTTTCTTTTCTCCTGCTTCTCCAAACTTCTGGTACTAAACAAAATTGTTACAGAGGTATGGGATCCAGCCCCCAGCAGGAGCAGTGTGCAATTTACTTGGTTGCCCTTATACAGTATATTCAGGTACAATTGTCTAATCCAGATAGATTTTCATACAGTATGTAGTGTGACATATTATGCCTTTTTGTTGGAAGAAAGCAAGGAGCGTGATTTTGGGTATGAAAATAATCTGATTAAATGTGCTCCAGATGTGCTCAGATGTACTGATGCTTTAAACTGAAGGATTAACGCTTATGTCTTCTACCAGGGATATTGCTGCTAGAAATGTACTGGTGTCCTCTACAGACTGTGTGAAACTAGGTGATTTTGGTTTGTCTCGGTATATGGAAGATAGCACATATTATAAAGGTAAGTAAGGGATGCGTCTACACAATCCCTCTCTACAGCCTCTGTTGAGTAAAAAGAGTATCCTCTCCTAGACTTACCCTAGGACAGGGGTAGGCAATCATGGCTCTTTGATGACTCGTGGACTTCAACTCCCAGAATTCCTCAGCCAGCCTGGCTCGGCTTGGAAACCTCTCCCTTTCCCCTCAGCATGGCTGGCTCAGGAATTCTGGGAGTTGAAGTCCACGAGTCATAAAAGAGCCAAGGTTGCCTACCCCTGGTCTAGGACCTAGGCCACTGTTTCTCAATCTTGGCAGCTTGAAGATGTGTAAACTTCAACTCCCAGAATTCCTCAGCCAGCATGGGGAACTATGGCCCCTTCATGACTCGTGGACTTCAACTCCCAGAATTCCTGAGCCAGCATGGGGGAACTATGGCCCCCTCATGACTCGTGGACTTCAACTCCCAGAATTCCTGAGCCAGCCTGGCTCAGCTTGGAAACCTTTCCCTTTCCCCTCAGCATGGCTGGCTCAGGAATTCTGGGAGTTGAAGTCCACGAGTCATAAAAGAGCCAAGGTTGCCTATCCCTGGGCTAAGTCATCTTTTATTCAAAGGCATTTACTTGATGTAAGATACCAGAGTATAAGACGAAGGGGAGGAGTGATCCATTCCTAACTCGTATGTCAGAAAGAGTAAGCAAGCACCACCTTAGCAATGACAGCAACGATGGAGGCCAAAATTCATTTTGATTGCTTTATGATATATGCAACAATAACCACCCGATCGTCCAAGCTGGCGAAAAATTCAACCAGCACATTGAGATTTTGGCAAACATGCGTGTATATGTACTCAAAAGCTCAGCTCGCAGCCCAGCAATGTAAAATGTACGGAGTGGAGCAGAATGTTGATGTGTAAGAGGTCCTGACTAGATTTCATTTGTGCATTTTAGCTTCAAAAGGAAAATTGCCCATCAAGTGGATGGCCCCAGAATCCATCAACTTCCGACGTTTTACCTCAGCCAGTGATGTCTGGATGTTTGGTAAGAGAAGATCACCACGGGCTCCCTTTCCTGTCTCTCTGCCTCCATTTTAAACTGTTTATTGAATGTGTACAGCTGGTCCCCGACTTATCACCACAATTGAGCCCCAAATTTATTTATGTTGCTAAGTGAGATGTTTGTTCATTTTATGACCTTTCTTGCAACAGGTGTTAAAAGTGAACCATTGCAGTTGTTGAATTAGTAGCACAGTTGTTAAGAGAATCTGGCTTGCCCCATTGGCTTTTCTCGTCAAGAAGTTTGCAAAAGTTGATCATATGACCCCGGGACATGGCAACCGTCCTAAATACGAACCCGTTGCCAAGCATCTGAATTTTGATGACGTGACCACGGGGTTGGCTCCAATGGTCCTAAGTGTGAAAAACAGTTATAAGTCACTTGTTTCATTGCCATTGTAATTTTGAAACGAAACGGTCACTACACGAATTATTATAAGTCGAGGACTACCTATATCACCCTTGCCTGCTATTTGCATGGCACTCAAACGATGATGATGATGATGATGATGATGATGATGATGATGATGATGATGATGATGATGATGATGATGATGATGAAGTTGGAAGGGACCTTGGAGGTCATCTAGTCCAAGCCCCTGCTCAGGCAGGAAACCCTATACCATTTCAGACAAATGGTTGTCCAATCTCTTCTTTAAAACTTCCAGTGTTGGAGCATTCACCGCTTCTGGAGGCAGGTTCTCCTGCTTGAGCAGGGGGCTGGACTAGATGACTTCCAGGGTCCCTTTCAGCTCTACCTTACCCTACCCTACCCTACTCTATTCTATTCTATTCTATTCTAAATAAAGAATCCTATTCTATTCTATTCTATTCTATTCTATTCCATATTTTCTATTCTATTCTATTCCACATTTTCTTTTCTATTCTATTCTATTCTATTCTATTCTATTCTATTCTATTCTATTCTATATTTTCTCCTATTCTATTCTATTCTATTCTATTCTATTCTATTCTATTCTATTCTATTCTATTCTATTCTATTCTATTCTATATTTTCTCCTATTCTATTCTATTCTATTCTATTCTATTCTATTCTATTCTATTCTATTCTATTCTATTCTATTCTATTCTATTCTATTCTATTCTATTCCATTCCATTCCATTCCATTCCATTCCATTCCATTCCATTTTTTCTATTCTATTCTATTCTATTCTATTCTATTCTATTCTATTCTATTCTATTCTATTCTATTCTATTCTATTCTTCTCCTGCTGCGCTCTTTCTCCATCCAAATGCATCGTGTGTCACTTTTGTACTGTATGAATTGGTTTGATGGAGCCCATTTTAGTCATTTCCTACAGGTCTAGAAAGAGGGAAAGGCACTAAAAAGCAACATTTTGGCATATCTCCGAGACCGCCTTCTGGATATCTCCGAGACCGCCTTCTGCCACAGATTTCCTCTCACAGACCAGTACGCTCCCACAGAGCGGGCCTCCTCGGTGCCGTCGGCCAAGCAGTGTCGGCTGGCGACCCCCAGGGGGAGGGCCTTCTCTGTGGGTGCCCCCACCCTCTGGAACGAACTACCCCCTGAGATCCGGACGATTCCGGATCTCCTATCTTTTCGCCGCGCCCTCAAGACATGGCTTTTTCAGCAAGCGGGTCTGGCCTAGGGAGAATTTTAAATAGGGACAATTTTAATTAGAATTTTAAT